ATCATTTCTGAAGAAAAGATTGAAAAATAATTGAAGTCAGTAGTATATCTGTGATGATGGAAGGTGTGCATTGTGTCCTTGCTTTTCTGTATACCATCACAAAATGATAGTAGTGGGCTGTGAGTTTAAATATGTGCTTTTAACATAATTTTGCTGTGTCCTTTTGATTGTTTTTAGATTTTTAAAAAAGTTTGTTAACGTAAGACTACCAGAAGAAAATACTATTTGTATTAAATGTAGGGGATACTTTTTATTTTATTTTATTTTGCTGTTTTTGGCTGGAGCTGGGTTTGAACCTGCCACTTCTGGCATATGGGGCCAGCGCCCTACTCCTTTGAGCCATAGGCACCACCTTGATACTTGTTATTTTATTATTTTGGAATAATTTCAGGAGAAATAGGAAAAAATAAAACATAATTACAGTTTCTTCAGAAGCTTTTAGCCTTCAGAGACTATGAGCGGCAATTTATAGGATTTACACTTCCAGAAAGTATATGTGCATGTATGCATTTATTGGGAGGAAGGGCCAGAAATTTCATCACATTCTGAAAAGGGTTTGTAATTGAAAAAAAATTGCTGCTTTTATATAATTAGTACTTAATAAATGCTCATTTAATCAAGTATTTCTCAAGTCCCTTCTGTGTCACTAAGCTTACTGTTATTTTTTGTGGAAATAATTTGTTTTAGTATGCTTAACTATGGTGTCTTTGTTTTTGTTTACAGATTCCTTGCAAACATGTTTTTTGCTATGATTGTGCTATTTTACATGAAAAAAAAGGAGATAAAATGTGTCCAGGGTAAGATAAGATCATCATTACATTTTTAAACAATAAAGTTTGTAGAATAATGATTTGCAAATTAGGTTAAAGGTTAGGGGGTGATGTAAACCAGGCAGTAGATAAAATATGGAAACATAGCAAATCTTTCTCTGTGAGCCCGGAGTTGGTTTTGGCCATTGTTTTATATATTTATTTTTTGAGGCAGTCTCACTTCGTTGCCCCAGAGTGTCATGGCATCACAGCTCACAGCAAACCTCCAACTCCTGAGCTCAAGCTATTCTTTCACTTCAGCCTCTCAAGTAGCAGCAACTATAGACACCCACCACAATGCCTGGCTAATTTTTTCTGTTTTTAGTAGAAACAGGGCCTTGCTCTACACTGGCCTCAAACTCCAGCATTCCACCCACTTTGGCCTCCCAGAATGCTAGGGTTATAGGTGTGAGCCACCACGCTTTTCTTTTTTTTTTTTTTATATAAGGGCTACATGGCCAGTATCAGACAATCCAAATTGGCCAAAATGAAGAAATATATTTGTCATCATAGAATTAGTATAAACCAAAAGTTTTTGTTTTTAATGGGACACGAGAGAAGTAATATGGTATACTGATTGAGAGCAAAGATAACAGAATTAGAATTCCAGGGTTCAAATCCCTGTTCTGCCTTTTATTAGTGATGTGACATAAACTATTTATTTATCTGTGAAATGAGGCTGTTAATACCTACCTCCTTGGGTGAGTGATAGATAGACAGATAGATGGGTGATAGATAGATAATACCTTGTATATAAGAAGCACTATGTAAGTATAAGCTCTTATTTAACACCTTCAAATCTGATCATTATGTCTTTATGTCTTGAGTATATCTTAGAATACATGATATAGATTCATCAAACAAGTTATGAACATCTAGGTCCATTTTGAAGAAACGAGAATAAACCAGGAATTTTTATCAGTTAAAAAAGGAAGGCTTAGGAAAGACTATGAAATTTCTTTTGTGTTTGTTTTTTTGAGAGTCTCATTCTGTCACCCTGGGTTTGAGTGCTGTGGCATCATAGCTCACAGCAACCTCAAAGTCCTAGGCTCAAGGGGTCCTCTTGCCTCATCCTCCTGAGTAGCTGGGACTACAGACATGTACCACCACACCTGGCTAATTTTTCTATTTTTAGAAGAGATGGTGTCTTGCTCTTGCTCAGGCTGAGCTCAAGTAATCCACCCAGCTCAGCCTCCCAGAGTGCTAGGATTGTGACAACTAATTCTCTTGGTGTGTTTTTATACTATACTGTGAGTTTAAAGAATATTTCTTCTATAGAATAATAATTTGTAAGAGTTATGAAATTAGAGGTACATATCGTTTAGGGTGTTTTCTTCTCTAAATGCCTAATTTTCTGACATGGTATACGTTCACTTTAAGTTATATAGTAAATTCGATTAAAGGATTTCAGATGTGATAAAACATATAAAGGACTTTCAAAAGTTTTCTCTTGGCTGGATATCCATAGCTCAGTGGCTAGGGCGCCGGCCACATATACCAGAGCTGGCGGGTTTGAACCCGGTCCCGGCCATCTAAACAACAATGACAACTACAACAAAAAATAGCCAGGTGTCCTAGTGGGTACCTGTAGTCCTAGCTGCTTGGGAGGCTGAGGCAAGAGTATCGCTTAAGTGAGGTTGCTGTGAGCTGTGATGCCACGGCATTCTAACAAGGGTGACATAGACTCTGTCTCAAAAAAATTTTTTTTTTCTCTTTCATATAGTGTTACAATGTTAATGTTTAAAAGGAAATTGTTTTCAAGGTACTGAAGTAACTCTATTAAGCATCTCACTTGCCTGGTCATTGGCTATTTTAGGACAGAATCCTATCTAGATTACAGACCCTGATCAGGAAGTGAAGAAATGACAACCAAAGTTAATATAGGCTCGGTGCCTATAGCTCAAGTGGCTAAGGTGCCAGCCACATACACC